TTTCCGTGTCCAATTCCGTAAAATACCTGTATAAACACGCATCAATAAATGATCCCATTAGACCATGTCTCTGACGTCCTGGTTCTGTTCATACTTATACTAATTTCGCAATAAAATTAAATACAAAAAAATTCATGAATTTAAAACCCAGTGAATATGCCCAATATTACAGTAAATGTTTTTTAAATACAGCATTTGATTTCACTTATGTACATGTTATATATTTAAAAAAAATCATTATGTTGAAAAAAAAATGTTTGATTTTTAATTTAGTATTACCCTGCTTAACCTATTCTGTAATTTCTTCATTAATTTTGAATCAAATAGATGTAATTACAGATCTTGAAAAAAAAAAAATTGTATAGTTTTGTTGTTGTGAACAGATGACAAACCATGACTTTAGCATTCAGTGGTATATAAATGTATGTACAACCTGTATTAGTTCTGCCATACCTGGAAAGAACATTTGCTTGCTATGGCAGTGGTACTTTATATGAGGACATGCCAAGGTCGTACCGTACTGTATTTGTGAAGATCAGATTGTCAAACACAAATGAAAGTGTCATTGAATCAGTTCCAACTTTCCCACAGTTTTCAAACCATTGTAAGGTTTTTTTTATGTTTATAAACTGTTCTTTCTCAAAATAACTTCACATAAAATAATTGGTTTACCCAAAGTATTCATTGTGCTCTTTTCTCGGCTATATGTATTTTTTATTTCTCTTTTCAACACAATTGATTCTGTTTCTTTTAATGAAAGCCTCCGCTGTATCTTCCTACTTAGCTCGGCGGTGGCTTTATTATCGTTGTTTGATGGATTTCCACCCATCCTTTCAAACAATGCCAAAATGGCGGGACAGTATTGTAAATTTCCAGTCTGTTATTCTCATTACCAATGCCATTGTCAAATTTTCCTTTCAGGCGTTCCGGCAGCTATCGTCTCCGTTAACGCTGTGTATCTACTATGTAAGCTGATGTTGTCGGAGTCGGAGCAGGTTCGGGGGTCGGCAGCCATTGCATTGGGGTATCTTAGCTACAATCACAAAGCGGAACGGCAGCTATTGAACAGGTAGGGGTGTATTTTTAACTGAGATGAAAGAAAACAGTTATCCCTGCATTTTGATTATTTTTATAGGGTGTGAAGTGACCGTTGCTTAGTGCAGTACTGCCTTGTTTACTTTTTACTTTATTCAATAAATCAAGCACTACTAAACTGCAAACGTTTACTATCCAGTGGATTCAAAACATCAAATAGAGTTAACCTTACATAAATCTAACGGAACACTCCACTATCAACAAGTATTTGACAAGACAAAGTTTTGTGAGTTAGGGAAAATTTGAAACAGACAGGGGGGGGCTAGGTTTAGAAGAATAAAACAATCAAATGGGAATATTACTGAAAAAGATTTGTAACCACACAAAAACAAAAACTCTTACCCGGTAACTAATATGAATACCATTTTCCTTCCCAAATTTCTGTTAATGGTCAATTCTTTAATAATATAATAATATCAGTAATCTCTAACCACGTGACATGTCCGATTTTGTCAAAATTTCTCTGCATACCACCATTTTAACGGCTGACTCTTGTTTGTTTACTGTTGCTATGATATAGTTGCTATGATACCACAGCATGACTTTTGCACAATCTCTTCAGCTAGCTTGAAAACCGCTTTTAAAATGCCTTGGTCACTTTCTAGTACTGAAATTGTCTATATGCCTGCACTCTCACAGAGAATATAATATCTCTGATTATTCCAACCAATGTTGAAGACTACCTAGTATGTAAGTTGTACATTCCGACACAGAGATGATCAAACTGCTGGCATTGCGATTTTCAACATTACAATGTATTCAAAGAATCGTTAGCTACATCACTAGGATGTTGAAGACAATAAAGTGATTGTATAGACGAACACGTAACAAAGGTCAATACAATCTTATGCTGCACGAATGCATATACTCTGCGGTAATCTTTGTATTATTGATCCTTTTCCTGCTTGCAGTGTTTAATTTAATGATAGATAACAGTCCAAAATATCAACTTAAAGGTTTTTGTAGTGTGCAAACGTTTGTGTTCGGTGACAGAATTGTATCTACATCACGCGATTATTTATAAGGCTTTCGTGATCGATGTAAAAAAGAAAAGTGTTTTAATGTGATGTAAATAATCTTGAATATGCTAATTTTTTGTGAACTATTACACCTCATTTAAGGTGAAAATTCAAATGTTAGTATGAGTGCAGATACGTTTTCCATTAAATGCAAATGTAGCTTTTTATGGAACAGTAAATTTGTTGTTTTTCCTTCTAGATGTACAATAACAATATTTATTTGTTTCCTGTGGTTGGATTAATTATTTCACACGATTATCACAGCCTCATTTAACCCCTTGAGAGCCATAATTTTTCCCGCCAAAACTTAGTGCCACATTTTGCCTGTTTTATGTATTTTTTCCATATATTTTTGATAATTTTGGACAAAATGGACATGATTTCTTATTACCTATCAGTCTTGATACAAATTTTTAAAAAAATCTTTCAAAAATGTAACGTTTTTTGAATGATGATGATAGGTGGCTTCAAAGAGTTATACATTTAAAATTTCTCAATCAAAATTAAAAAGATAACGAACACTGTATATATATATATATATATCTGATGAGCATACGAGACAGCAATCTATCATGAACAATTCTTTTCATTGCACAGTGGGGCTTTTTAAATTAAAATTAACAGAGCGAATAGTATTGACTAGTATTGTACATAGTAAAAAATCTTTTGCCCATTCATGCATCACTGATTTTCCAGGCGACAACGCCTTTACATTTAAGTCGTTAATGGAAATCCATTACAATTTCTTGACCTACTTCACCCCTTTCCACCCATACCCAGGGGGGTTTAAGATTTTCAATTTCTGTGGGTCTTGGTGTTTTGTATCTGATGCCTGTTTCCCATACATGCTATAGCAATGTGTCTGTTGATGAACTATTTCTTTTTCTTTTTTTTTTTTAATTCTTTCACTTTTAATTATGTCACATGTTTATAACATTGGATGAGATTTAACTGAAAATAGAACTGAGGTCGGCATAGTACGTTGTTGGCGTGTGAAACAGATAATAGTTTTATCCCTACTGTGTTTCCAGTACTACGCTGTTGGTTTTCAGTGACTTGTGAATCTGAAGAAAGGTTTTCTGCTAAATAATTTCAATGCTGTAACAGTATATATGCCGTTCTATTTAATTTATTATGATTATTTAATCACACTACGTAATGCACAGGGGTGCCATTCATGAACTGTGGTGACGTGTCGTTTGTGCACAAGATATTTTATCATATATGTATACCACCAGAGGTACATTACTTGGGGTTTGTAACTACGGTGACATGATACCAAGATCCTGTCACAATCTCGCTCTCGCATAAGCGTTCCAACTCAGAAAAATGCGAATGAGCATGCCCGAGGTAACTAGGATACTGGGATGTCCAGGTGGATCAAAATAGCTGCCCACCATATGACGGATTACGAGAACTATATTTTCTGTACATTTTCGATGTATTACATTTTTCACTATGATAGTGACAAGAAAAATGTTATTATTTTTATTACAAACCTTGAACATTGATATGTGTCATGTCAGAAGGTCGTAGCCTCAGTCTCGCTATCTACGAGAAGAGACTTGAATGGGATCTTGACATGATGTCACCATACAGTACTATGCGAGTTGCAAACCCCAAGTAATGTACCTCTGATACCACTGATAGATTACATCAAATGAAATACTGCAAAAACCTTTCATGTGCGACATTGATTTTGCGACATTGATTTTCCAACATTGATCTTTGACGTTGGCACAGCGTGCATTAATTACTGCCGTTGACTCCTTCCGAGTCTTCAAGTCACCAGAGAAATAACCTATTGGTAGTTAAAGCTTTGTAACATCTCAGTTTGTCGCCATTGTTGTTTGTACGAGACCCATATCTCGCACATGAGTGGCGTGACAACCACCGCCTTTTAAACTATAATATGTTGCAATTAACTTGTTTTGCATGTTTACTTCAAATTGGGTTGCTGTAAACAAACTATTACATAATATTTTTTAAAAAGTGTAAAATTACTTTTTGAAAGTAGGGGGAAAAAAACTACATAGAATTTGAAAACTGCAAAACTTTTCTTCACAATATAATTTTGTAATTGGCATCAGAGAATGTGAATGAAAAAATTGAATAAACGGCACTTGCCTGGCAATTTTTATTTATAAGTATGTCAATTCTGTGTGATCTGCCTTCCCTTCCGCCTTGATCCGCTACTGAAAGTGCATGTTCTAGACTTTCTAGTTTTATAATGGCATTCATCTAAGCTTATCACTTGAATGCACTGGTATTTCTATCATTTTCATATAAATAAAAATACTGGTACTAATAAATGGACACAATATGGTAATGACAACTGGTAAATGAAATTTTTGTGTCATTTTAGCGATAACATGTTTCATTGATTTAACTGACCAAGTTGTATGTATACATCTTAGATACATGTAATTAAGAATGATATTTGTAAAATCGCTAGCGTTGACACGAAATTGCCACGACTGATCTGTTCGGCCACTAGTTTTCACCTCATTTTCGAATGGGTAAATATGCTAATGAGTAGCGTGAATTGTAAGTTGCCAACCAATGAGAAGGCACTTTTGATCTTACCTGTTCTATTCAACTACCGTACTCGACTGCGTTAGCGCCCATGCCCGGGCAAGCGCCCACCCCCCACTTTTGTGCAATTTTTATATTTGGGGTCACATTCGACAAAGCGCCCACCCCTTCAAAATGCAACTAATTTAAAACTTGGTCTTGTGTAACGAATCTTGGTAATTGTTTTTATATGATACAGCGTGGATATCGACCGCTGTGAACATGTTGTGAATGTGTAGAACACGGTAACTGTGCGTAAACTACGCTTCGACAATGACCTGTTAATACAAGTAAAATGCGGTAAATATTTCATGCCATATTCAGTTTACCTTTCAAAAATGGCTAGTTACTAATTTTTTGGAAAACCATGTCATTTATTCGCTGAAATCAATTCCAACAGATCGTACTTCGACATCAATAATTCACTTCCGCATTGCGTTACCGGAAAGTCTTCGGGAATTTCCGAAGAATTGCGTCAGTACAACACAGCATTATGATTGGTAAATAACCAACTTGACCCATGAGGTCAAAGGATGCTGCTGCAGGTCAAATGCAAATGCATCATGGCGGAAAGTGATTTTCATCGAGAGTTTGCGTACGATCCAACACCTTCGTCAGACAATTTTGACTTCGACAGTGTTCCAACAGACTCAAATGTTTTTAATTTCGTAAATTCTGGTGGTACGTAATTAATATTGTAATAAAATTTGCATATTTTTTGTGATCATTTCTGTTTCTTCATTGTGAAAATTAATGATGACTCAACTAATTTCGTAATTTTATTTTCCCTCAAAGACGTAATCTGTCACTTAATAAATCAAATTTTTCATTTGCACTCTTTTTCGAGGGGGGTTGCTGGGGTAAGCGCCCACCCCTAAAAAATCGTGATTTTCTGAGTTGAGGCCCCTGGGCGCTAACGCGGTCGAGTACGGTATAATACCTACATGACCCTGACGCACAGAACTTTTTGCATAGGTGCTCATCTGCTTTTTAGTCCCCGTTCGGACGCAGTCCGAAAACGGGGACTTATGTTTTGCCCTGTGTGTGTCCGTCCGTGCGTCCGTGATCACCTGTATCTCGAACATGCATGGACCGATTAAGTTCAAACTTCACTCATACATCACACATTATATGGGACATATGCACATGCATTTCTTTCATGATCCGATAAAATGA